CTCATTTCACAATGACATGCAAGAAAGTAACAGTTACAGAACTGACAAAAGTTATAAACGAAGGGTTAAATCAATCTTGAAAGTGAAGTCAAAAGAACGATATCATGTTAATGCACATTACAGAAATAAAATTAAGAAGCGAATGAAAGATCAATATAAAAACAATCCAGTTTTTGCTAACAAATTGAAACAGAGCAGTGTGTTTAAATATAGGATTAATGTAAATCATAGAAATCATGTTAAGCGGCTTAGTATTAACAAATATAGAATTAATGTAAATCATAGAAATCATGTTAAGCGGCTTAGTATTAACAAATATAGGATTAATATAAATCATAGAAATAGAGTAAAACAATTTATCAATGATAAATATAGAAATAATTTAACTCACAAAAATAAAGTTAAGCTACGTATCAATGATAAATATAGAAATGATTTAAGTCACAAAAACAAAGTTAAACAGCGTAGCACTGATAAATATCGGACGGATAAAAACCATAAGAACAAAATAATTGATCAGAATAAACAAAGAAAATTTAAAAAAAAGGTAGAAATGTCGGACATAGAAAGAGTTCTCGAAGAGTTTAAGAAAGAGTCGAGTCATGGTCCAGAATATATCTGCTGTGTATGTAACAGATTATTGTTTAAAAACCAAGTAAATTCTTGCAACGAGAAATTATATAATAAAGATGATAAAGTCAAGAAAGTAGCAACCCAGTGTATCACTAAAACATATTTACACGAATGTTCTATTGATTGTATAGATAACTGTGACTATCCCGAAGGTTATAAATCGTTATGGATTTGTTTTACTTGCGATTCTAAAATCAAATCTGGCAAAATACCCGCAGAAAGTGTTATAAACAATTTAGAACCTGGCCATATACCACAACAGCTCGAATGTTTAAATAGTCTCGAGGCACATTTAATAGCTCTAAATATAACTTTCATGAAAATGGTAAACTTGGCAAAGACACAACAATTTAAAGTTAGCGGAGAAACTGTCTGTATTCCTAACAATATTAATGAAGTGACCAAGGTTTTACCCAGATCTGAAGGTTCTGATCAGCTCATTAGACTGAAATTAAAAAAACGAATTACACATAAAAAGCTATTATCAATATGAATTTGTTAACAAGTCGAAATTAAGAGATGCTTTACTTTTTTTTGAAGGAAAATAACCAATATTATACAGAGGTTGAATTTGACAAACTGGAATTTTGAAACAGAAACACAAGGTAAGGGAGATAACTCCAATCTAGAACAGTTGAAACCCGACACTCAAAACAACTCTGATACAATAGAAAATGAAACTGATAGTTTACCAGACATTGATGTGCCACTTGATGAGTTACATGCACTGTTGACACCTGCTGCTTTAAGTAATTCTAAGACAAGAGAAGACGATACTGATAGCTTACCAGACATAGACATGCCACTTGATGAGTTACATGGACCGTTGTTGAGTACGTGTTTGCAACCCGTTGATCTTGCACAAGAGATTTTAGACAACACTGATAGTATATTTTCTATTTCTCCAACAGAAAATAAAAATCCTGTTAAGATTTTAACAGACAAAACGAATGAAGCTATGTGTTTTCCGACCCTATTTCCAACTGGACAAAATATATTTGCTATTAATCGAGATGAACGAATCACTCTAGGTCGCTATTTACACTGTCGTCTAATGAACGTTGATAACCGATTCGCTAAAAATACAGATTACATCTTTTATGCTCAGTATTTATATGAACTCAGTCAAGTTGTCTCAAGTGTCTCCATCGCATTACGCAAAACAAAATCAGTTGGTAATAGAATAACAGCTGACATGCTTACAAATGAAGAACCTTTGAAAAATATTTTGAAATGTGATGATGGCTATCGATTTTTGAAATCAGTACGAGGTTCACCCAGCTATTGGAAGACTACACAATCAGATCTGTTTGCTATGATTAGACAACTCGGAATTTGTTAATTTTTTCTAGACAACAAGGTGATAATAGAAAAGCCAGTGAGTTAGGTTGGGCTGAGAAACAAGAAATACTTAGAAGCAACCGGATAACTATAGCTAGAATGTTCGATCACAGGTTTCATTATTTCTTAAAGAATTTTATCATGTCAAGCTGAGCCTATTGGTAAAGTAAAAGATTATTTCTATCGTATCGAAAATCAAATGCGCGGAAGTTGTCACGTACACATGTTATTATGGATAGAAGATGCACCTGTACTTGGTAGAGACGCTGACAGTAAAGTTGTTGAATTTGTAAATAAATACATAACATGTAAAATGCCAAACATTTCAGATGATCCAGAACTACACGAAATTGTATCCAGTGTTCAAATACACAGTAAAAAGCATTCAAAATCTTGTAAAAAGAAAAATACGGTATGTCGATTTAATTTCCCTAGACCACCCTCTGAAGAAACCTTTGTTTGTAGAACTGTAGACATTGTATACATTGTGTCATATTAAAAATGTATTTATTTATTTACAAATTCAACAACTTTACTGTCAGCGTCTCTACCAAGTACAGGTGCATCTTCTATCCATAATAACATGTGTACCTGACAACTTCCGCGCATTTGATTTTCGATACGATAGAAATAATCTTTTACTTTACCAATAGGCTCAGCTTGACATGATAAAATTCTTTAAGAAATAATGAAACCTGTGATCGAACATTCTAGCTATAGTTATCCGGTTGCTTCTAAGTATTTCTTGTTTCTCAGCCCAACCTAACTCACTGGCTTTTCTATTATCACCTTGTTGTCTAGAAAAAATTAACAAATTCCGAGTTGTCTAATCATAGCAAACAGATCTGATTGTGTAGTCTTCCAATAGCTGGGTGAACCTCGTACTGATTTCAAAAATCGATAGCCATCATCACATTTCAAAATATTTTTCAAAGGTTCTTCATTTGTAAGCATGTCAGCTGTTATTCTATTACCAACTGATTTTGTTTTGCGTAATGCGATGGAGACACTTGAGACAACTTGACTGAGTTCATATAAATACTGAGCATAAAAGATGTAATCTGTATTTTTAGCGAATCGGTTATCAACGTTCATTAGACGACAGTGTAAATAGCGACCTAGAGTGATTCGTTCATCTCGATTATCAGCAAATATATTTTGTCCAGTTGGAAATAGGGTCGGAAAACACATAGCTTCATTCGTTTTGTCTGTTAAAATCTTAACAGGATTTTTATTTTCTGTTGGAGAAATAGAAAATATACTATCAGTGTTGTCTAAAATCTCTTGTGCAAGATCAACGGGTTGCAAACACGTACTCAACAACGGTCCATGTAACTCATCAAGTGGCATGTCTATGTCTGGTAAGCTATCAGTATCGTCTTCTCTTGTCTTAGAATTACTTAAAGCAGCAGGTGTCAACAGTGCATGTAACTCATCAAGTGGCACATCAATGTCTGGTAAACTATCAGTTTCATTTTCTATTGTATCAGAGTTGTTTTGAGTGTCGGGTTTCAACTGTTCTAGATTGGAGTTATCTCCCTTACCTTGTGTTTCTGTTTCAAAATTCCAGTTTGTCAAATTCAACCTCTGTATAATATTGGTTATTTTCCTTCAAAAAAAAGTAAAGCATCTCTTAATTTCGACTTGTTAACAAATTCATATTGATAATAGCTTTTATGTGTAATTCGTTTTTTTAATTTCAGTCTAATGAGCTGATCAGAACCTTCAGATCTGGGTAAAACCTTGGTCACTTCATTAATATTGTTAGGAATACAGACAGTTTCTCCGCTAACTTTAAATTGTTGTGTCTTTGCCAAGTTTACCATTTTCATGAAAGTTATATTTAGAGCTATTAAATGTGCCTCGAGACTATTTAAACATTCGAGCTGTTGTGGTATATGGCCAGGTTCTAAATTGTTTATAACACTTTCTGCGGGTATTTTGCCAGATTTGATTTTAGAATCGCAAGTAAAACAAATCCATAACGATTTATAACCTTCGGGATAGTCACAGTTATCTATACAATTCAATAGAACATTCGTGGTAAATATGTTTTAGTGATACACTGGGTTGCTACTTTCTTGACTTTATCATCTTTATTATATAATTTCTCGTTGCAAGAATTTACTTGGTTTTTAAACAATAATCTGTTACATACACAGCAGATATATTCTGGACCATGACTCGACTCTTTCTTAAACTCTTCGAGAACTCTTTCTATGTCCGACATTTCTACCTTTTTTTTAAATTTTCTTTGTTTATTCTGATCAATTATTTTGTTCTTATGGTTTTTATCCGTCCGATATTTATCAGTGCTACGCTGTTTAACTTTGTTTTTGTGACTTAAATCATCTATATTTATCATTGATACGTAGCTTAACTTTATTTTTGTGAGTTAAATTATTTCTATATTTATCATTGATAAATTGTTTTACTCTATTTCTATGATTTATATTAATCCTATATTTGTTAATACTAAGCCGCTTAACATGATTTCTATGATTTACATTAATTCTATATTTGTTAATACTAAGCCGCTTAACATGATTTCTATGATTTACATTAATCCTATATTTAAACACACTGCTCTGTTTCAATTTGTTAGCAAAAACTGGATTGTTTTTATATTGATCTTTCATTCGCTTCTTAATTTTATTTCTGTAATGTGCATTAACATGATATCGTTCTTTTGACTTCACTTTCAAGATTGATTTAACCCTTCGTTTATAACTTTTGTCAGTTCTGTAACTGTTACTTTCTTGCATGTCATTGTGAAATGAGCTTTCCTGATCATGATCATATGTTAGTTTTTCTTTCATATTTTTAGATTTCTTTGTTAATTTGCGAGATTTCCAATGGTTTTCTCGTTTTCTCTTTGTACTTTTATTTTGTGAAAATGAGTTACTTTTCAATAAGTTCATGGTTTCATTGTTTGTTTCCTTGCATTCTACATTTGGTGTGTTTTCATAATCTGAACCATTACAATCATTACTTACTTCATATGCTTGTTGTTGGACTAAAGAACTATCTCTCATAACATTCATTACAACTTCATAGTGTACTCCTTTCAGATGATTAATATATATTGCTCCATTCATTGAATTATCTCCCTTGTGTTGCAATCTAGAAAATTTTAACCAGTTATTATTACTGCAGGTATATATGTCAGTTTCAAGTAAATCTGCTGCAGCAAATATTTCTATTTCAGTCGCCCAACTTTTAACGTAATTCATGCGTGATCTACTAATATAGTCAAGTATTGAGGTGTAACCAGGTCTTAGATACTGTTTAAATAATGCGGCATGGGTTTTAAGGTGCTTTACAACAGCAAGTCTAATCTTTCTATGGTGATTCGCTGTGCCTGTTAAAGCATACGATATAGATCTAAAAAAACAATTGCCATCTCCAATAATTGATTTTATTTCTGAGGGTTTCGTTAGTGGACACGTACTTACAATGTTTTCATTTGAGTTAGCTGGCAGACCAAGCTGTGAACAAATATTTCTCTTAGTAGCTAATGGAATTGGATTAAAATTAAATGAATTTGATTCCACTTGAGAGATAATAATATCATCATTAGATTCTGCTAAATCTATCGAAATATCATTAAATGGATCATTACAAGACATGTTGTCATCATCTGAAATAATTACACATTCTTGATCTATAGACTGGGGTATATCTGATAAATCGGTTAAAATATCAATGTTAATACCTGTTATTTCAAATTGAGTTTGTGGACCTAGGTTCAGAGAAACAGCTAGTTCGTTACAGTGTTGATAGACTTGTGTAATATCTCTAACATGTAATAATATGCATCTACCATTCTCAGATAGCAATCCTCTATTACTTCTGCTGTGTGAATCAAAAATAAAAAATGTATTCAAGTGTTTCATTATTGCAAATGTATTTCCGCCAAATGTAACAAAGCATGATTCGTGCATTAACAGACTAGTTTACAGGGCTTCAAATAAGTTCATAACTATGTCATCTATTCCACTTGCATTTCTTGACCAAAATAATCCGACATATGAATCATCGGCGATGTTAAGACTAAATATTTTAAAAAATTTTTCTATTTTATCTGGAAGTTCCGATACCAAAATATATCTCTTGTTAATTGATGCCATCGACTGAAGAGAAGCATATAATTCATTACCGGCTATTAATATACTGTCCAAGTCTGCACTATTCCAACTTTCTAAAGGTTTTACTTTAGTGAACAACATAGACATGGCGCTCATAGCAACACACTGACTTCCACTAAATCTACCGAATAAAGGATTTCCTTGATGGTAACTAGCTAAAACAGTATCTTTTATGTCAATTGGAAATGTAGGAATGTCTATAATAGTTTCAACTGGTTTATCAAACAGTGTACGTGTTTCGTCATTTGAAGGATTAGTAATATTTATGTTTTCTGTGCTTAAAGGAATGCTATCTACTCTAACAGAGCTATAGTTCTCACCTGAAGACGCAGATATAGTGGATGCATTCTGTTCTTTCTCTATTTTTATTTTATCTTTATTTTGCTTTGCCTTCAAATTATCTATGGGATTAAATCTACGTCGTCTTGCCATTTTTATTCTACAAAGAATGCACCAATTCAAGGGTTTCTTTAAAGTAACAAAATAATCCCCCTTTAATCTTATTTAATTTCGTCACACCCAAAATGGAGTTATCTCCCTTTTCTATTAAAATTTTGACCCGCGTTCTACTTTTATCAATTACGAGACTCAGTGGTTTAAGGTTTGTTCTTTAAATGCTTTAAGGTTTGTTCTTAAAATGCTTTAAGGTTTGTTCTTAAAATGCTTTAAGGTTTGTTCTTAAAATGCTTTAAGGTTTGTTCTTTAAATGCTTTAAGGTTTGTTCTTTAAATGCTTTAAGGTTTGTTCTTTAAATGCTTTAAATTCGGTACCAGTAGTGCTGACTGGCAATGGCATCAAAAGAAAAAAAAAATCAAAAATAAACTATAAATATGAGCAGCACTCTCAAAAATAAATAGAAAGTTGGGACCTTAAAGGAATTGGTAAACGGCCCAAGCTGCTTCTGAAAAAATATAAAACAAAATTGTTAAAATCAAAAATATTTTAAATATAATATTAATAAAATCAAATTTTAATGTCCAGATATTATTTTTAAACTTTATAATGCCGACACATTTTTTTTCATTATTAAAAATGTCAAACGTTTTAATGGAGTTACCGCCATTGGTATTATTTAAAAAAAACACAACCCACAACCCTGAGCGCTTCCTTTCTACTTTTTATAAAATTGTGTCTATTACGAGACTTAATTTTTCAAATTTTATATTTATATCTATTTCTTATATACTATTCAAAAACAGTAGGGGATATTTGATTTTGGGGGCATAATACTAAAATATGCAAATGACTACGAAAAAAGTCACTATAGAACCTAACAGAAGAAACATTTCCAGTTACATGTGACGCCCAAACGCACCAATAGCTACCGCATGGAATGCATGTGATGCTTGGGATCATCATGGGGGTCCAACCCAAGATTTGCACGACTTTGAATGTTACAGTCATTGTGGCATTGAATTCCAGGGTGGAAACATCAGTTTAATTGTTTTAGTGACCAGAAAACAAATTTTGATATGCGTCGGCTTACCCAAAATGAAAGGTTACGTGCCCTTGGCATGCTACAGATCGGCACAACACAGGCGGTTGTGGCGCGGACGATGAATGTTTCTCAGTCTGTCATAAACAGGCTATGGTCCAGATACCGTGATACACAATCTGTACAGGACAGACCACGCTCAGGACGACCAAGGGCGACAACTCAAGCCCAGGATCGATTTATCCGTACCTTGGCCTTGAAAAATCGTGTCATCACAGCAAATCAGATCAGCGCTCGTCTTCAAACAGACACTGGTGTGAGAGTGAGTGGCCAGACGATTCGGAATCGACTGCATAGGGGTCACCTTCGCGCCCGACGTCCTCGCGTGATCCCTTGTTTGAGAGATCATCACATTCAGGCAAGACGTCGTTGGTGTAGGGATCGTCAACACTGGGATAATCGACGCTGGAGCAATGTGATGTTTTCAGATGAGTCAAGGTTCACTGTTGATTTTTTGGACAGACGTAGGAGGGTGTGGCGTCGTCGAAACGAGCGCTTCCAAGACGTTAACGTCATCAGACATGATCGATTTGGGGGTGGTTCTGTTATGGTGTGGGGAGGCATCACTGTTGCTGGAAGAACGGCTTTACATGTTGTTGCAGGGCGTGTTACAGGCCAGTACTACCGGGACAACATCTTGGCAGTCCATGTTGTGCCGTTCGCACGACGTCATGGCCGCCGTTTCATCTTCCAGGATGACAACGCAAGATGTCACAGGGCCAGGATCGTTACAGGTTACCTCCAACAACAGAACATCACCACATTACCTTGGCCAGTCCCGACCTCTCCCCCATCGAGCATGTCTGGGACATGCTTGGACAGAGGTTACGTCAACGTCAACAACGTCCTGCCAATGTCCAAGAACTTGCTGCTGCGTTGCAACAGGAATGGGACAATCTGGACCAAAATGACCTTAGACGTCTCATTAGGAGTATGCCACGTCGGATCAATGCTTGTTTGGCAAACAGAGGAGGATTTACCCGTTACTGACTTGGTTGTGATGCTGTGGTAAGTTTGCTGTTTGACCCCGGGTATCATTTTACCCTTATAATGGTCAGTCTGTGCCTTACTTAGTCTAACGATCATTTGGAATAAATCGATGAATGTGAACTTCATTTCATTTTGTCATTTGTTTCTTCGTCAGTTTCATTAGGTGACTTTAATAACACTTAAAAATCAAATATCCCCTACTTTTTTTGAATAGTATATATATATATATGTGTGTGTGTATTTATTTTATTTATTGATGAAATTGCTCTCTTAAGAGGCAACAGTAAACCCCAAAAAAGAAAAAGTTGTGTGTATTTATTATCCTTTTAATAAAATTGCTTTCTTAAGGGGCAGCAGTAAACTCCCAAAAAAGAAAAAGTTATCACCTTCACAGGAATTCGTTAACCAAAGGTCCAAGCTGCTTCTGAAAAATACATAACAAAATAATTAAAACCAGAACTATCACAAAATATGAGTTTAGGTTTAACGGTCCACGCGACACAAAATACGCGAATTCAAGACTTACATATGGCATGGTCAATTTTATTTCAATATTTGGCTTGCAAAAGGGGTGTTTAGTAGTGGGATGAAACAGGAGAAAGTCCACGAGGTTGACCAGACGACCTTACTCCCTTGAATTGAAATCTCGCCACTTGACTCAATGGTACACCCCATGATCTAAAGAGCACGCATTATACCACTAAACCTTCTAACCCTGCACAATTTACACAATAGCTGACATACGTTTGTTGTTTTCAGTATTCATCCTTTTCATATTAGATATTAAACTATTGGTATATACTTACATCCAAGGAACCGTGTCAACTGTACAATTGTCCTGAAAAAGATAATAAAGACACTTAGATAACTGTTATTTCAGTTTAATAATGAATAATTATCTGATGTTGCACTGAATAAACCAATAATAGAATCCACATAGACAATTCTTTTTTCATGTCCAATTTCTTGTACCGTGATAATTAACCAAACTGTATTATCAACTGGATAAATACAGTGTAAAAAAAAGACCATCTAAAAGATACACAAACCTATTAAATAAACCCTTCCAGAATACGATAAATTTAGTTTCATTTAGCGCAAAATAAATTATCTTTTCTTTATGTGAATTTGTCCAACATACATTATACATTATACAACCATTTTATTGTCTTTGTGATAAATATTTTCAGGAAACGAGCAAAGTTCAATATTTTGTAAAACAAGGAGAGTATTATATCGATGGCTTAGAGCACAACTGTACTATGTCCATTTTTGGTGAAAATAAGATTTTTAGATATTAAAAATCCTTATTCCAGGGCGCTTGTTGTGTAAAAAGATACAAGTCCCCTGACAATTTAAAGCTGTCGAAAAGGCAAAATAACCATAAGTGTTATGTACTACCCACATATTTCTTTAGAGCACACATAGTCCATGTCCGGACATAAGTCTTTTGTGCATTTATTCTGGCAAAAAAGTGCGGACATAAGTCATTTGTACATCAATTTGAACAAAAAAGTACGGACATAAGTCATTTGTTGTGCACTACCCACATATTTCTTTAGAACACACATAGTCCATGTCCGGACATAAGTCTTTTGTGCAATTATTCTGACAAAAAAGTACGGACATAAGTCATTGTGGATCACATTTATCCAAAAATCAGCTGTATGCTGTGCTTAAGTTGAAGTGCGTCTCTATCAGCCTATTTGAATTGATTCAAGCAATAATCTTTCCTGAAACCATATACATCCACTGATAACTTACTTTTTTATAGCTTATTGAAATCTTAAAATACGTTTTTTTCTCAAACCTTAAAAAATGGACATAGTACAGGTGCGTTCCAAGCCATCGATATATTAAAATCACAACAATATTAATACGTACGGAAGACATGGTTTTGTCACTTTAAGTAATAAAATGTATAAACTTAAAAATATTATTTACAATTATTATTATTATTATATGTTATACAGCGCTGCTCTCACAAGAAGTCCAATACAAAAAAGACAAGCAAATAAAATATAAAATGACAAACAGAATATAAAGGCAAAAACAAATAAAATGACAAATAAAAATGAACATGTATATTTATAAGAGGGATAATAGTTCACTCCAAAGTTTTCTAATTAGCTAAATATTCTTTTCGAAAGGTGAGTCGTAAGCAGGCGTAACAAATGGGATAGAGACTGACAAGTGCGCATAGTAGTATGTGGGTTTTGAGGGGTCTTGAAAAGCTTTCTCTTCGCGAGATTCAAAATTTGCTTTTTCTCATCGGAATCTGAACCTAAACAACGACTAGATTCATAAAATTGTACAATATCTGACAAATAAGAAGTAATATCTTATATTCTATTCTATAAACAACTGGTAACAAATGTCATTTATAGGAGACAGATGGCATGTAGTCACGATAGGGAGTGTCTGATATCAGTCCAACAGCAGAGTTTAGCAAGAGTACCATGGAATAACGAGCTTAATGAAATGAAATGGGGTTTAACGTCCTACTGTTCTGTTCCTACCGGCTAATGAAGATGGGCATATGCCATACAGTGTGCTATGAAGGGCATTTTACCAGGTCAGCGGCACTATGGCCTACTCTTATATCATATTCCTTCTGCCAAGGGATCTTTTACGTGCACGCCAATGTATACACAAGACCGTAGTTTTCCCTTGTCAGACCCTCCCGCCCTGCATCACTGACAAGGGTAACGATGTCGGAAAATCCTGAGGAGCTTTCTCCGCCAATGCAGGGGTCAAAGACTCGACCCCCAGTCTAGTGAGCCAGCGTCACTTGTCCACTTAGCCACCGTGGCCCACTAACGAGTTATAAAAATCAATACAAGATGTGACAAGAGAATTAGGGTTATGATAGCAACGAAAGATAGATATTTCTTAATTTTACAGATATTAATAATTTGAGATTCCATAAATAATTAAATAAAAAA